TGATACACAACCAACTGTTGGTCGGATGTTTAGATTCATCCAGGATGTTGATCATATGTATTTTTAGTTCCAAATTCGTTTTCTGATCTGGTCTTGACAAAATTGTACTTATTTTAGATGACGTCATTTCCATGTAATGGGAGTGTAAACAGAAGAGAAATGACGAGATTTCTAAATCAAACAAATGAAGTAGTAAAAGACAAAGAAACGATGCTCAGAAAAAATTATGAGTTGATTATTGTTGGATATATTGGGGAACAAGTTTACTGTTATATGTATTCAAGTTTGAGTTGTCCTTAAGCCGATGTGTCTGACATTTTTGGAGCCGAGGTTTATTGAATCCATTACTGGTCCAGTGCATGCCGCTCTCTTTCCCACTACGTTCTTCGACATTTAACCGGTTGGGACCACTCGCCCAAATGGGATATAATAGTTCGTTTGGGATATAATATCCCAAACGGGCTATAAATTTACAGTGCAAAAAATGAAAATTTTTATTTTGGCTATAAGTATCATAAATCCGCATCAGGACACTTAAAAAGGAATTACTTATGGTAAGAAAATTTTTCTGCAACCCTACAGTTTGTTAGATTGATCCCCAAGAAATTAAATTTTAAGGAACTTCCGAGGGATCAATCTCCTAAACAATGGGCACACAGAAAAACTAATGTAGTGCTCTGGCTAGTCAACTTGAAATATATTGTTTCTCAGTTATATTAAACCCTTAAATTGCATTATGTGAATGAAAAGTAATTAGGTAAAAGAGATGCTTAAAAAAAGAACTGAGTTCTTTGTAAAGATTTTCTTTCGCTGATGTACAATTTCAGAATATGATTTTATTACTGATTTAAAATTATCATTAAACAATAAAATGTACCACATTTTCTCTTCAAGGCTCTGCTCTCATTAACAGTCACACCGTCTAACATATAACTGTTATCTGTACATTTGTATTGCAAACTTTACCTCACAATCACAATCAACAGAAATCGGACGCCATTACTTCTTGTCGTCATATACCGTATATCACGCCCGATCTAAAATCGCGATTGCGATCGCTAACGTCGTTCTAAGTAATCTGTGAAAAAAATTAAAGTTTGTGAAAAGTTAATAAAAGTATGTTAGACTGTGTGATTGTGTTTGAGAGCGGAGCCGTGAAGAGGAAATTGTCACAGTTTATTCTGTTGTGCTAAATCAGTTAAATTCTGAAATTGTATCAGAACCCAGTTCTTTTGAAAAAAAAAGACCTTTCTCTTACCTTATTACTTTTCATTCAAATAATGCAACTTAAGGGTTTAATATATCTGAGAACTAAAATATTTTTTTCATTATATAAGGGGTTGTCTAGGCAGAGCACTAAATGTAGTTGGAAAAGAGAGCGCCATGCATTGGACCACTGATTGATAAAATTCAATGTACTGAGGTCCAAGAATTGTCAGACACCTCGGCTCAAAGACACCTCAAACTTTAATACATGCAACAGTAAACTCGTTCCTTAATATATCCGACAATAATCAACTCATAAACTTTTCTCAAAGTATCATATCTTTGTCTTTCACTGTTTACATCAAATGCTTTTTTACCAACACTGATCTAGAAAACTCAAGTCATTTCTCAACTTCTTATGTAAGAACAATATTTTGAAGACCAGATCAGAAGAAGAATTTGGGACAAAAGATACAGACATATGATCAACTTCCTGGATGAATCTAATCATCCGACCAACAGTTGGTTGTGTATCACGAGGGTTGAAAATATAACAGCCTCACAACTTTTTTGAGTAAACAAATGCAACGGATGAATGATCAGGGACATTTACTAGGTTCCTGTTGTGATATTTTTTTTCTTTTTATTTTACATTAATTTGTAAACATTAATTATAATTAATATTTTCTTTATTTTACATGTAATGGAAAAATGTATATTTCACCTTTCAGTTTTTTTGGCTGATGCTGTTGTTAAAACCAATCTCATTTTAATAGTCTTAAGAATTTTCTAAAACTAATACAATCATATTGAAAACAGTTACACTATTTAATTATTTAAAAAATCCTCGAAATTAATTTTTTTTTCATCTATCTTTGTCGTTTAAGACTTTGTTAACTATCAATCTAATTAAAATAAGATGTTAGATCCGCTCGCATACTCGATCCACTAACATCGTTAGTGTAGCGAGTATGCGATCGGATCTAACATCTTATCTTAATAACATAGAGTTAATTATATACTAGTAATTCGATAACCAAAACCTGAAATATCTTGATATCGAATTTTTTTTTTCATTAATTCTTTTTTTTTTTGTTTCATTTCATGTCATTATTCATGATATCGATGTTTTTTTCATTAATTCTATTTTTTTAAATTTCCTTTCAAGTCATTATTCAATGTCATTATTCAATGTTATTACTTATCTAGAATTCATATATAATTGAGGGCGGAGCCATCTCACGGTTAGAGCGAAGCTCTTCCTATAGGTAACACGTATGCATATGAAAAATAAAAAAAAATCTATTGTAAACTATAAGTCATTTACATACCTCTAGAACTGATACCCTTGTCGCCAATATGGCGTCCCTGCTTTTGGCGAAATGTTGATTCACGCGCAAATTCTTGTTGTTGATGAAACTTTCATCAAAGTGAAAAATAGTTAATCGTAAGATAATATGTAATAATTGTTTTACTAGTAATCAGATCCTTCCTACTTTCGATTTAGACGTTGGTTCGCGCTCACAAGCGTAACGCCTTTGTTTGACCAGAATTTCCCTACAGGCGGCGCTGTCGTCTGCACTATTGAGGAGTGGATCTATCTGTGGCCCCTTTCACTAGACTGTAGGAGGAAAATAATCCTAATTCATAAGTTAATAAAATTTACTAATAACGAATGTCTTCAGGATTATTGTCAATACATACCAAGCTAGAAATAAAGGATTTTTTAGACATAGTGCAATATTTTGAACACTAAAAATGTTTTAAAAGTGGCAAAATAAATTACCCTGTGAAAAGCTTTTAAAAATACTAAATCTAACTAGGGACTCGATAAGGGTGTGTGGATTTCATTTTGTTTTTTTTAGATATCCAAATTGTTTATGAATATTTACTTGTACATAGAAACAAAAATATCTAGCAAGTGGAAGTTTGTCTCTAAGTCTTGTTGTGATTATTTAAATATTTTATATGAAGTTTTTCAAATGACAAAATGACTTATAGTTTACAATAGATTTTTTTTTTATTTTTCGTATGCATACGTGTTACCTATAGGAAGAGCTTCGCTCTAACCGTGAGATGGCTCTGCCCTCAATTATATATGAATCTAGAAAAGTAATAACATTGAATAATGACATGAAAGGAAATTTCACAAAATAAAATTAATGAAAAAAAAATTTCGATATCAACATATTTCAGGACCCATTTGAATACTTTTATCCTCATGGTTTGTACCCTACTAAAGGGAAAGTTATATCAAAAATCATGTTGCAAATATCTTTGAAATATATGTTTACTGTTACATGAACACATTGACATAAGTACATAATACAAGAAACTCAACTTGTTGATAGACATTACCGTAAAATTTTCAATTGATTGTTTTTGGGGGGAAATTTAAGAATTACTTTAACTAGACAAAAAGTCAAACAATAAAGTCATCATTTTTAAAATTTCATTGATTTAGAAGATGGACTCCATTTTATATTAAAAATCTAAATTTCCTATATCATGAATATATCTAAGAATTCAATATGTCAAACAGTATTTAAAAAAAAAAAAACCTAGTGTCTTTAAATTAATATAATTTTAAAGTGTTCAAAATGTCAAATAATTGTCTAATATTTGTTCTGTGCGTCATAATGAAGAATAAATTTATTGAATTGTTTATAGCATATAATATGTATATAAACATTTATATTATTATTTATTGACTGAAAGATTTGAATATATGTTTACTTTGTTTATAATACCTGTGCTATATGGCATAAGGAAAGAAAGAATTAAATTTATTCATTAACAACTTAATCAATTGGATTGATTTACGAATAAATTAATTTATTTGTTAATTTATTTACTTTTTTACTTTTTTAAATGAATTTATTTATTTTGGTTTGTTTTCTTCTACATGTATTTAAATTGAAATTTATGCATTGTTTTTTTATTGTTATGTCACCTCGAACGAAGTCGGATCGACATATTGCGATTGTACGCATGTTTTGTTATACAAGCTGTTTCTCGGAGATGGCTGGGACAAATTCCTGAAACTTTCCTAAAAGGAGGATCACCGGTTGTAGTTGTGTTGTGTGGTCATTCAGTTTGAAAATGGCTACTGTTGTCATGGAAACCTGCAAAGAGCAACGAATTTTGTCCACGAGTGTTCTCCCTGGTCCCTTGAACATTCTTCATGAAATGTTATTGATGTAATGATTAGTATCTGTAATTGTGCTTATTGGATTTAAAAATTGAAAATTGGGTATTGTCCGAAATTATCAATACACTGCTGTTGCCTTGGATATAGGGACGCCGTTCGGGGCGACATACGCAATTGCTTGCAATAGCAGACTCTCTACTTATTTTTTTTCTATTTTGTTTGTATCTGCATGTAATAGAAAAAAGTATTCAATGATATTATAAAGCAATTAAAATTATCCATTACAATGAAATTAATTTCAAGTTTCATAAAAAATAATAAAATGTGTTTGTTAAGAGAGTTTGTGAGATTTTTGTGACTATATACACAGCTGTTGATGTTTTGTCAAGTTGGTAAACATCTGTTTTCAGTCCAACCAATAATTATCCTATTCAGTTTCTTTTTAATGACAAAGATACAAAAACAAATCAATTATTCCTAGTCATTTTTTTTTTTAGAAAAACAGCTTTATTTGGTCCGACAAAAATGTTTTTGCCGGTAGGAGAAAATGACATATTTTTTTCTTCTGTGTCAGAAATAGTTTTGATCGTGGAAAAGAGGAGCAGACTATGCCTCGAGTAATGGGTTGACGATGAGAGAAGATGACGTGCGGGGGGAGAAAAGGGAAACCCCCTATATGGAGGAAGAGGAGAGGTAGAGAAGGGTTGTCATGGTGAAGCCTCGAGAGGACAGGAAGGAAGAGGAGCTAGGAGAGGCCCAACAAAGGGGAAAAACGGGACAAAAGAGGCTTCTGGGAGTGAATCCGAGGTAATGGGGGATAAATTATTATTTGTTAAATGTCCCAATTAGCTCTTTGAGCACAATTTTTTATTCTTAATGTCCATGCATTTATATTATTTAAGATGTCCCTTCATGTTTAATGTTAATGCATTATGTTCTAATTTCTTTGACTGAGTAGTAAAAGAAAATCCCGCATAATTTGTACCACAGGGAGACAGATATTTGTGTCTACATTAATTCTGTAAATGTTCTTGTTAAAAAAACTTACTGTTTGGGTGATATATTTATGTTAATTGAACAAGAACCTCAAACATCTAACAAAAAGAAGAAGAATTTATGATATCTGTTGTAACAGATTTAATTCGCTATAACGAATTTTAAGAAATTTTTATTATCACTTAAATTAGTTGTAACAAATTCGACAATTCGTTATATGGAAATCAAAAATATATTTGATAGGTCATAAATGGGCTACCGTATATTTTATATATATTTATGTTAATTTATATCTTTGTTAATTGGACAGGAATCTCAAACATCTAAGAAGAAAATGAAGAAGGAAAAGAAGAAGCACAAGAAACATAAAAAGCACAAGAAACACAAACACAAGAAGAACAACCCGAAGGGGGCTGAAGGAGAGGTGAGTTATATAGATTGTCAGGAGGAAAGGGGGTGAAGGAGAGGTGAGTTATACAGATTGTCAGTAGGAAGTGGGGGGCTGAAGGAGAGGTGAGTTATACAGATTGTCAGTAGGAAGTGGGGGGCTGAAGGAGAGGTGAGTAATATAGATTGTCAGGAGGAAGGGGGGGTGAAGGAGAGGTGAGTTATATAGATTGTCAGAGGGGGACTGAAGGAGAAGTGAGTTATATAGATTGTCAGGAGGGGGGGGGGGGCTGAAAGAGAGGTGAGTTATATAGATTGTCAGGAGGGGGGGGGGGCTGAAGGAGAGGTGAGTTTTATAGATTGTCAGGGAGGGGGGAGGGCTGAAGGAGAGGTGAGTTATATAGATTGTCAGGAGGGGGGTGAAGGAGAGGTGAGTTATATAGATTGTCAGGAGGGGGGTGAAGGAGAGGTGAGTTATATAGATTGTCAGGGGGGGCTGAAGGAGAAGTGAGTTATATAGATTGTCAGGAGGGGGGGGGGGCTGAAGGAGAGGTGAGTTATATAGATTGTCAGGAGGGGGGGTGAAGTAGAGGTGAGTTATACAGATTGTCAGGAGTGGGGGGGGGCTGAAGGAGAGGTGAGTTATACAGATTGTCAGGAGGGGGGGGGGCTGAAGGAGAGGTGAGTTATATAGATTGTCAGAGGGGGGCTGAAGGAGAAGTGAGTTATATAGATTGTCAGGAGGGGGGGGGGCTGAAAGAGAGGTGAGTTATACAGATTGTCAGGAGGAAGGGGGGGGCTGAAGGAGAGGTGAGTTATATAGATTGTCAGGAGGGGGAGGGGGCTGAAGGAGAGGTGAGTTATACAGATTGTCAGGAGGGGGGGCTGAAGAAGAGGTGAGTTATATAGATTGTCAGGAGGGGGGTGAAGGAGAGGTGAGTTATATAGATTGTCAGGAGGGGGGGGGGGGCTGAAAGAGAGGTGAGTTATATAGATTGTCAGGAGGGGGGGGGGGGCGGAAGGAGAGGTGAAGGTATATATAGATTGTCAGGAGGGGGGGGTGAAGGAGAGGTGAGTTATATAGATTGTCAGGAGGGGGGTGAAGGAGAGGTGAGTTATATAGATTGTCAGGAGGGGGGTGAAGGAGAGGTGAGTTATATAGATTGTCAGGAGGGGGGGTGAAGGAGAGGTGAGTTATATAGATTGTCAGGAATGGGGGGGGGCTGAAGGAGAGGTGAGTTATATAGATTGTCAGGAGGGGGGTTAAAGGAGAGGTGAGTTATATAGATTGTCAGGAGGGGGGTTAAAGGAGAGGTGAGTTATATAGATTGTCAGGAGGCGGGTGAAGGAGAGGTGAGTTATATAGATTGTCAGGAGGGGGATGAAGGAGAGGTGAGTTATATAGATTGTCAGGAGGGGGGCTGAAGGAGAGGTGAGTTATATAGATTGTCAGGAGGGGGGGGGTGAAGGAGAGGTGAGTTATACAGATTGTCAGGAGGGGGGGGCTGAAGGAGAGGTGAGATATACAGATTGTCAGGAGGGGGGGTGAAGGAGAGGTGAGTTATATAGATTGTCAGGGTGGGGGGGGTGAAGGAGAGGTGAGTTATACAGATTGTCAGGAGGGGGGGTGAAGGAGAGGTGAGTTAGATAGATTGTCAGGAGGGGGGGTGAAGGAGAGGTGAGTTATATAGATTGTCAGGAGTGGGGGGGGTGCAGGAGAGGTGAGTTATATAGATTGTCAGGAGTGGGGGGGGGGTGAAGGAGAGGTGAGTTATACAGATTGTCAGGAGGGGGGGTTAAAGGAGAGGTGAGTTATATAGATTGTCAGGAGTGGGGGGGGGTGAAGGCGAGGTGAGTTATATAGATTGTCAGGAGTGGGGGGGGGGTGAAGGAGAGGTGAGTTATACAGATTGTCAGGAGGGGGGGTTAAAGGAGAGGTGAGTTATATAAATTGTCAGGAGGGGGGGGGGTGAAGGAGAGGTGAGTTATATAGATTGTCAGGAGTGGGGGGGGTGAAGGAGAAGTGAGTTATACAGATTGTCAGAGGGGGGCTGAAGGAGAGGTGAGTGATAAGGTCAGAAGGGGGAGGGGGGAGTTAGGGGGGATAGGGAATTTTTACAGTTTGTCAGGCATTGTGGGAGGGAGAAGTATAAAGGGTCTGATTGTAGAGATGGGCTATACAGATTGTCAGGAGTTGGGCTTGGTGGGTTTTATTGTAGAGATAGGGGAAGGGTATTTATACCCCACACAACTAGTTGCGGGAGGTATAATGTTTTTGACCTGTCCGTCAGTCAGTCAGTCAGTCAGTCCTCTTTTTTTGTCAGCGCAACTCCTCATAAACCGCTGGACAGAATTTCGTCAAACTTTGCAGGTATTTAGGACACAATGTGTAGATGTGCATATTACCAGGAAATTCCGATTCCATTATTTTTCTGGGAATTTCCGCATATTTTAACTTGGGCATTTGGCCATACCTTGAATATAGAGATGAACAGTTTGTCAGCGCAACTCCTCATAAACCGCTGCACAGAATTTCATCAAACTTTGCAGGTATTTAGGACACAATGTGTAGATGTGCATATTACCAGGAAATTCCGATTCTATTATTTTTTCCGGGAATTTCCGCACTTTTTAACTTGGGCATTTGGCCATATCTTGAATATTGAGATAAACTGTTTGTCAGCGCAACTCCTCATAAACCGCTGGACAGAATTTCGTCAAACTTTGCAGGTATTTAGGACACAATGTGTAGATGTGCATATTACCAGGAAATTCCGATTCCATTATTTTTTCCGTCAATTTCCGCACTTTTTAACTTAGGCATTTGGCCATACTTTGAATATAGAGATGAACAGTTTGTCAGCGCAACTCCTCATAAACTGCTGCACAGAATTTCGTCAAACTTTGCAGGTATTTAGGACACAATGTGTAGATGTGCATATTACCAGGAAATTCCGATTCCATTATTTTTGCGGGAATTTTCGCACTTTTTAACTTAGGCATTTGGCCATACCTTGAATATAGAGATGAACAGTTTGTCAGCGCAACTCCTCATAAACCGCTGCACAGAATTTCGTCAAACTTTGCAGGTATTTAGGACACAATGTGTAGATGTGCATATTACCAGGAAATTCCGATTCCGTTATTTTTTCCGGGAATTTCCGCATTTTTTAACTTGGGCATTTGGCCATACCTTGAATATTGAGATAAACAGTTTGTCAGCGCAACTTCTCATAAACCGCTGCACAGAATTTCGTCAAACTTTGCAGGTATTTAGGACACAATGTGTAGATGTGCATATTACCAGGAAATTCCGATTCTATTATTTTTCCAGGAATTTCATCACTTTTTAACTTAGGCATTTGGCCATACCTTGAATATTGAGATGAACAGTTTGTCAGCGCAACTCCTCATAAACCGCTGCACAGAATTTCGTCAAACTTTGTAGATATTTAGGACACAATATGTAGATGTGCATATTACCAGGAAATTCCGATTCCTTTATTTTACCGGGAATTTCCACACTTTCCAACTTAGACTTTTTGGCAATATTTAGAATATAGAGATGAACAGTTTGTCAGCACCACTCCTCTTAAACTGTTGTACATAGTTATTTTTACCCCAAAGAGTTTTGCCTATTATTCAAGAAAATTTCTCTCTCTCCCCCCCCCCCCAACCACTTCAAATTAATGTTTGGATTTGTATAATGCCAAGAAATTTTGATTCCATTATTTATCTGGAAACTTCATTCCACATTTAAATGTCCTCATATGTAAGACATTTTGATGTGAAGATTTTTTTGCAATTATTGCCCTTCTTGATCTATACTATGTATTTAAAGTGCACTGTGCCTTTCATTATGTGTTTCACCGTCAAGTTTTGGGGGAGCGTGGGGTATGTGAGCTAGCTCACTTTTTCTTTCATTAGTATCTGATTGTAGAGGGGGGTTATGCAGCAGGAGTTATATAATGTGATCGACCATATTTAAAGGGAAAACCTGTGAGTTATCTTGTCATCGGGAATACAAGGCACTATAAATACAACCTCTATACTTGTCAGTGGGGCTGAATGAGTTGATTGTAAATTGCTGTGTTTATCTTATACGCAGGATTCAGACAGCCAAGAAGACCTGGAGGCCCTGGAGAAACGGTTAAGAGAGAGGGCGCTGCAGTCGATCCAATCTAAAGAGGAAGTGGAGCGTGAACGACAACTCCGAGAAAAGGCGCTACAGTCAATGAAACGTCGCAGTGGGCCAGACAGCAGTGATGACGACTCAGACTGAAGTGATGTCACCATGTGATGTCATTATAGAAAATGATGCCATAATGTACAGTGATGTCACAATTGAAAGTGATGTCACAATGTGTAAGTAATGTCACATTGTATAGTGATGTCACAATGTAAAGTGATGTCACAATGGAAAGTGATGTCACAATGAGAAGTTATAAATGTAGGGTGAAATCCCAGGTTGAAATAAAGTCAAATTCCCAGTGAATGTGGAAATCCTATAACATTAAAGGAATAATTATTTGAATTTCTTGCATCATAAAATCATGATAACATTAGTGAAATTTTTTTTCTTGTTATGAAATGTGACATTGACTGTGTGGGGATTAACCACAATTGAGTTATACATTATTACTGATAATTTCTTTTATTAATATTTAAACAATATTGCAGACTTGATCAGTGATTTAAGAATCCATTTAGAGTCATTTTGCTTGTGTCTGTTTATTCTTATTTTAGTATGAGAAAAATTTGTCATTCTGCTGAAAGCATCATGTTTGGTCTATGAAATGCTGTAGATATTTTGTGATTTTTAGCTGATAATCTTGTTGACTCTATAATGTGTGAGAGTGGAGAAGTGGCTTTCATTTTGTAGACTTGTATTGCTTAAATCTTAAAAACAAACATGAAAATACACCTCTTGGAATTATTTTAATTCTGGCGAGTAATTTGATTTTTTTCATGTATCTATTCATTTGTTTACACTGATATATTTTTTTTTGTATAGGAAAGATTTTATCAGAGGAAACAAATGAATTGAACATGAGTGATTATTTAAGCATTGAATTCATATTTTGGGATGTCTTCGCACACCTGGCTGTGCTGACAAATTGAATACCGCGCGTTAGCGCGATATGATAATTTGTCGGCACGGCCAGGTGTGTTATAGGACCGAAGACATCCCAAAATATGAATTCAATGCTGATATTTACATTCTCTAATTTTTCCTTTTCATAATTGCTCATTTCGTTAATCTTAAATGTGAATTTAGAGCCCTTCAAAACTGTCGTGGTTGATAGATGTAAGAGCTGTCTGTGACGTCAAACGACGTTAGATGACGTTGCAAAGTTAAATGACGCAAACAAACTTGCGAGGAAAAAAGTGACAAAATAATTCTTAATGCAAATTACGTTAATTTTTACGTCAATTTTTCAGGGTTAAAGTTTTTCATTAAATTGAAATAAAACATTTTACATTTTGATGTTCTTAGAGTATTGAAAATGCATTTAGTTCCTACTCTGTATTCTCACGCGCGGTGACAAGGTTTCGCATGTGTTATAGAAATTTGAACGTCGTGGATTTCTAATAGATTTCATAAGAAAAATTACACTGAATGTAAATATTGTAATTTATAAATAGGACATAATATAACTAAGGTTTTCCTTCCACTTAAAATGCAAGGCTCTGGATTCCTCCCCCGATCTGATTGTTCCACTTGTTCAATGTTATTGGAATGATCTTGATATTCATCAGTATATTAGTCACTCTACGAGGCGTGATCTATGATTATTCCACGTGCTCAATGTTAATGTAATGATCTTGATATTCATCTGTTTCTTTATCTATGCAGGGTGATCAAAAAGTTCTCTAATTGAATAACTTCCTTAAAAATTATTAATTACAGGGGGTCCAGTTTTGAAATTTTATTACATAGTTCTGTCCAATTACAATCTTTCTGCCCATGCGCGAATCACATGATATAGGCTGTCACTTGACATGTCCTGCAGCATTATGTCGTTGGAGCTAAATGATTTTCTGATTCTTGTTTTTCTTATCATGCGAGTTATTTTTTTATAACAAAAACAGTCCCTTTATCAGAAATACCCAAATCTTGACAATAGTGTGGTTGGAAAAGGATATCCTTTTCCAGAATGAGCATGGACGAATCCTTTGTCTTGTTGGAGCGTCGTTTAATCAAAGTTGATATTATGAATACCTTTTTATGTCTGGATAATAATTGAGGGATTTAATAAATGATATTGTTAAGATATTTAACTACTAGTATATTTCAAACTGCAACTTGCCGATCTTTCAAATCAGATTGTTTAACAAGGGACAAATCTCTTCCCCGTCTTGCTTTCACTGGGCAACATAACAAACATGATATTTAAACATCTCCCTTTCGCCATTCCTTCATTTAAACAAACAATGAAGTTAATGAGTAAACATCTGGCAATTCTTTTGTCTTCATAACCCGTGTGCAAATAATCATATTCTATTGCAAAGTTGTTTCCAAGATATACACTTAACCTTATAGCATTCATTGCTAGAGTGCGACTGAGTCAACCATATTTTGTCACAAGCTTACGTGATCCACATATATATTCACGTCATTTTCACATTGTGACGTCACAAAGAAGGAGCAGAACATATATCAATATATATGCTATTTATAGAACACGTTTATGACCTTCTGGGCCAAATTTCATTCTGATCTGAATTGTGGTTTTGTAGATGTAGAGGTAGCTCGCGAACTTTTGATCACACCTCGTATATTTATCGTTGCATTTTCAGCAATGTTGGCAAAAATAGACAGAAGAACGGGAAAATAAACTTGGTAAAATAAAAACCAAAACGTCAAATTGCCCATAAAGCATATCCTAAAATAAATCAAATAGTAAATTGTGAAGCAAAAGTCCAATAATGTATATCCACAAAACACAAAACAAAACCGTTAGCAAAATGTGAAGAAAAAGTTCAAACTGACAGTGAAGTATACAGTATCCAAAACAAAACTTACTGATAGTAAAATGTGAAGGAAAAACTTCAGATTGATAGTAAAGTGAGAAGCAAAACCCAAAATGACGTGTAAATATGAAGAAAAGTTAAAACTGACAGAAAAATGTCTACATTGAAGGTAAAATGTGAATCAAAAGTCAAAACTAAAAATAAAGTATATCCGCCAAAAAAAAAAATCAAACTGATAGTTAAAGTGAGGAGCAAAAGTCCAAATTGATGGTGCAAAGTTGACGGCAATGTGTGCATGTTTCCAAACTCACTATAAACTGTAAATTCCAAAATGACAGCAAGTCTTACCTTGTTATATATTATAACTTGCAAAATTATTTATAATTTGTTAAAATATTCTGATTGTACAAAGTACTCTGAAGTTTATATAAGACAAATGCTTGAGTTTCTCATGTAGAATTTGGAGATAAGATCTTCCAACAATATTTTGGAATTTCCATGGGTACCACTTGCGCTCCCATTTCTAGCAAGCCTATTTTTGAATTCATACAACTTAGGATTTATTCAAAAGCATCATGGACAAAACGCCCATGGGCCACATCACTCACCTGATCACTGTACCTAAGGGAGGGAACTATTATTCGAGCAAACCTGAATACTTTAATCGACACTTATAAAGATTCTTGTATATTTCTTTGACGAATTATGACCTCTTTATTCCCTTTTTTACCCTTTAAGTCTATGCCCCTCCCCTCCCGGCCGTGATGATTGGAACATCACAACTATGTAAAACTTTGATCCTCCCATGTGGCCCCGCCCTAACCCCTGGGGCCATGATTTGAACAAACTTGAATCTACACTACCCGTGAATGTTTTCCTATAAGTTTCATCTTTCGTGGCATAGTTGTTCTTGAGAAGAAGATTTTTGAAGCATGTCACCAAATTTTCACTAATTCTCAAGTATCTCCCTTTGAATTGGCGTGGCCTTTCATTTGAACAAACTGCCTAACTACCCAAGGATACTTTGTGGTATGTTTGATTAAAATTGGAAAAAAAATGATCTGGAGAAGAAGTCGAAAATGTAAAAAGCTCACAGACGGACAGAGAGACGGACTACAGACAAAATGTGTTAAGAAAAGCCCACTTGAGCTTTCAGCCCAGGTGAGCTTAAAAAAAAAGAATGCACTTGTGGCATTCAACTCGACCTTCATATATCGACGACGTACGTATTATCAGTTAACAATCAATGTGTTCATTCATATCTCGACATGATAAAGCCTAGTGAGCTAAGATAAAAGATACCACAGAGTGTGACACATCTGTTGCATATTTAATTAATAAATTTAGTAAATATCTTACTTCAGGTTCATAATATTTTACTAGAAAATAAATCAATAATAGCATACTTAACAGCAAAGCATTATGAAAAACGTGATGACTTCAACATTTTAATCGTCAGCTTACCTAATTTATGGATCATCATATCCCTATCATCTGTTGATTGAACATTTGAAAAGTTTAAATATCGCAAATTGTTGGTGACGATCTGAGTTTACAAAACTGCCACCTTCAGTGAGGATGCTCCAAAATTTCTTAAACTAAAGGCTTTCTTAAGGATTTTACCCTATTATTTACTTTGACTCATATTGTGGCCATGCAATATTCTATCCCTGGGTGTCACGCTTTGAACAAATTTAATTCTACATATCAACATGACCAATGGAACACTGATTGCTTATTGTAAACCCACCTTTTCTACTTTAATCTACACTACCCTAAGGATGCTTTCTATAAGTTTCATCTCTCCCGGCCCAGAGGTTCTTGAGAAGAAAATTTTAAAAAAGAGAAAAATATTTTTAACTAATTTGTAATGCTCACTTTCTGAAGAAGGTATTCTTTATTAGAACAACCTTGAATCCCCTTTACCTAAAACTACTAGTACTTTGTAGCATGCTTGGTTTACATTGGTCTAGTAGTTCTGTGAAAAGTTCACAGATGAATGGACATGCAGGCAGACAGCAGTTCGACGGTGGAAAATTGTGATAAAAATAACTCACTTTGACCTTTGGCTAAAGCTAGCTCAAAATACAAGAATATATTTTATCAAGGCATGAACAAAAAGTACGTATTTCTATATAACGTAATATGTACAAACATTCAATATTATTAAAACAACAACAAAAATTGATTCATTTTTCAACTTAATGTCAATAAAGCAATATTATTGCTGGATAATTGCATCAGTGTTCATTATCATATATTAACATTCGCTGTGTTTTTCTACAAAGGAAACTAAAATTGATTTGAAAACCATTTTTTTGTATACTCACGCGTAGAAATATACACGGAGAAACATGCACTAACGTGACGTCACAGTGAGTCTACAGCGACGTTGGTAAAAATGCAACGATATAGGGCAGCGAGAAATTCAAACATTGGGTATATTTTTTTATACTTCCAAACATTGTAAAATGTAAATATAAGGAATGTATTTAAGTTTTGTGCGATTCATTAATGTGTAAATCACACAAGACTTGCACGTAGGCATATTTTTCATGAAGTGCTAGCGTGACAAGTCTGTGTGATTTACACACCAATGAATCACACAAAACTTAAAAACATTCCTTAAATAACTGTTATTACAGTCATACGTCATCATCGATTAAACAATCGCTTTTGTAACGAAAAGTCAATGTTATATCTCTATACAAATGACAAAAATATCTATGGGAAAAAAATTCAAGACCGTAAACTGAACAATATAAAAGTAAAATTTTAGATAAATATATCTTTTCACAAAATGATCATAACATCCGATTTGTATCATGTTTATTTGAATGTTATTCAACAGTGCAACTTTTAGCTTCTTTAATCTGGTTGTTTAATAAAATTATCATTGTTTAAAATTTTGAGTATAGTTTGCTCTCAATGTTAGATTGATGAAAAAA